TGTGAAGAAATATGTTTTTAATTTGTGCTGTATTTATGGGATAATCCTCAATATCAGAGATATAGCGTATGTAAATATAAATATAAAAGTGAACAGTGCAGTCAACACTCAGAGGCGACAGGCTGTTTTCATGCTGGACGCAATCTGACGATCTGAGTGTTGACTTCAATCTTTATATATATATATATATATATATATATATATATATATATATATATATATATACTAACAGCATGGCCCGGCGTTGCCCGTATTTGATTCAAAATTCGTACGACTCATACAACAATCGCTATCACTTGACTTAAAATATTTTTGCCCTTCCTTGCCTTTTAAAGGAGTGCCCTTTGCCGTGCTGATGTTGCTACATGCCTTACTTCTTGCCTATCTCACGTTGCAATTTTTTTCTAAGCTCTATACTAAACATTAAATCTGTTGAAAAAAAACAGAACTAAACAAAATGAACACAAAACGATCAGCTTTTGCAAAAAAAAGGACTCGTAACTTGAAAATCCGAACGAAAAAGAATGTTAACAACAAATACTTTTTCACACCCAACCCAATTCTGCGGAATCAGAATCAACGTTGAGTTTAAGCAAGTGAATGAGCCAACTGGAGTAAAGTGCCATGCAGATTTAAATTTTCCCACTTATGACGAATGCAGCTATCGATTTTTTTGCATAGTTAACATTCGTGTCATGTGTCAGCTGTTGGCTCTGATTGGCCAGTACAAATAAAATGACCATAAAAACATGAAAACTGCCGTAGAAGCATGAAAAAATCGATTATTTCCAATATCGATGGCAGTTGGGAAATGCAAAGTCGGTCTTGGCCTTCCTGATAACTTGGAGCATGTGCATGTAAACTTTGGTGCAAATCCGTCGAAAATTGCGGCCGTGCATTCGTTATACACACACACACACACATCCTGCCTTTCATAGATAGAGATATATAACAAGACTATATATACATGCGCGTGCGTGTGTGTATGTGCGCGCGCGCGTGTGTGTATGTGACAAGAATTACCATTGGATTTAGCCCAGTCTATCTCAACCTTTTTAAGCTAGGTGTTAAATGAAAATATCACTTAGCAAAATTTTAAAGAGTAAACATTTAAATGTTATGATATAAAACCATAGATTAAAAAAAAATTCACACAAATGTGAACTTACTTTATTTCAATGTTTCTATTCAACTATTTGTGCAGCTTATTTAGTGTGAAACCTGTGCCTCGTGATTTTTTTCGACATTTCTTCAGTGTTTAGTCGAATGTGCGATAAGCAGACCCCCATTTCTTCTTCAGCTGAGCTTAGTCTTTCAGGCTTCTTATTTTTAATGTTATTTGCCGTTAAGAAGCCTAATTCACATAAATAAGAAATAGAACATTGCAATAAAATAGATAAAGCTTCGTTTTTTTTTTTGGCTAATGTGGAATAAAAGTGTTTAATACCTATTCATTTAGTCAAATACTAACGCTGTACAATTACCACTTCCACACACACACACACATATGTATGTTGTGACAATATTGTACGGCACCCTTAAGCGTATCGTGCAGCAGAGTAGTGTGCCCGGCACGGTGGTTCAAAATCACTGATCTAGACTAAGAAATTTCATATTATTATTATTATTATTATTATTATTTCCTTTGGTTTCTGGCGTGTACACATTTCTTTTCGGGTCCCACCCAGAGACCTAAGGTTAGAAATTGCATCGTGACATTTTCCACTGACCAATTAAAAAAAAAAATCAAGAACTGAACTCGTGAGAACAATTTTTTGTATTTCTTTAAGGCATGGGCTTCCAGGAATCCCTTCAGTGAGTCCACTGGAATCTTTTCCAACCAATCCGAGGGCTCCAACTACAAAAGGGATTGTTGATGTTCCCATGTGCCACATTTTTGAGATTTTGATTTCAAGGTCTTTGTATTTTGATAGCTTTTTGAAGAGCTTCAAAGATACATTGCAGTCTGAAGGGACTGCCATATCAATAAGGAGGCACCTTTTTTTTTGTTTGTGGTCTCTAATAACAATATCTGAGCGGTTAGCTTTGATTGTTCTGTCAGTGTGTATTGTGTAGTCCTATAAATTTGTTACAGGGTCTAATTATTGTTACAAATCATTATTATTATTATTATTATTATTATTATTATTATTACTATTATTATTATTAGTGAGAGAGGCATACCAGCAAAGTTATGCTGAAATACAAATATACGAATCCCAATAGAACTATCATGAAACTCAGTCTAATATGTTATAGAAGGCATATTATTATTATTATTATTATTATTATTATTTGTTTGCCTTCTTCTTTAGCATCTTCCCATTAGATGCTTAGTAATTTTATCTTAACGTTCCCATGACAGTAACCGCCCCCTCCGCCGCCGCCGCCGCCGCCCCAACAATGTTTGCCGTAGTCTTGACAACCAGAATCAATTCTGGTATTCTTAATTGATACAATCTCGTCTCTAGCGACTTTCGAAGGGTTCTCTGAGCTAAACTTTTTAGAATACGCAAACAGTTCTAATTTCAAACGTGGTCCTGATAATTTTTGGAATGAGGAAGCCGCGTTTTGCAATCAATTTACAAAAGTCTATTAACTGACATTCTTTGTTTTCAATATTATATTATATTACATTAGGCTATCTTTCAATATCATTATATATTAAGAATCCATTTATATGATATTTATATTATATATTAGACAAAACATTTGAAAAGAGAAACAGGCTGCATTCGTTGTTATTAAATACAGTGTCAATAAAAAATTTTATACCAAAAAAACAACTAACAGGAAAGTTTGACACTGAAAAACTTCATTGGGATAGCAAAAGATGCCTTTAAAAAAAAAACTATTTATTTTTTATTTAGCGAAAAATCTTCAAAAAATCATTGAAGGAACAAAAAATTTATACACTGAAATCCGAAGGCGCTTTTGGAGCGAAAGGCCTTCAAAATAGCAAAAGTTGCCTAACACTGAAGCTAAGCGCATAGAAGCAAAGAAATTTCCAAAAATTTAAAGAACTGAAAATGAAAAATTTCATTGGGATAGCGCATTGGATGTTTCCAAAAAGCTAAGCACAGAATTAAGAAACAAAAAAATTTCGACACTGAAATCTGAAGGCGTATTGGGATAGCGAAAGATGCCTTCCAAATGTTAAGCACAGAATTAAGAAACAGGAAAATTTCGACACTGAAATCCGAAGGCGCATTGGGATAGCGAAAGATGTCTTTCAAAAGCTAAGCACAGTATTAAGAAACAGAAAAATTTCGACACTGAAATCCGAAGTCGAATTGGGATAGCGAAAGATGCCTTCCAAAAGCTAAGCAGAGTATTAAGAAACAGAAAAATGTCGCTAGAAACAAAGAAAAGCGCACTAAACAGTTATGTAATATCGGTCCTTCTAATATGACATTGAATGCTGGACAATCTCATCACAAATTAAGAAGAAACTTGAAACAATAGAAAACTGTTCTACAGAAAGATGCTGGGAATAACATAGACTGATAATGTGACCGACGACGAAATTTTAGAAAAAAATGGAAGCAAAAAGGACATTTATGCATAACACCAGGGAGAGACAATCGAAATTTCTTGGACACATAATGTGGGAAGAAGGCTTGGAAAATTTGATACTCACAGGACAGATAGAAGGCAAGGACAGAGGCAAACAAAGAACCTTAGCTAGAGAGCTTGAGTAATCGGATGGCGAAACAGGGTTTAAGAAAGATAACAAATTCGACAAAATTTATTGAGCTCTAAAGAACAGGAAATTGTGGAGGGCTATGATCGCCATCGTCTTGTGGGGACACTGTACAAACAAGAAATCGGTACACTTTAAATTTAATCGTGATGAAGATGTGCCTGTGTTTATCGCAATTCAACTAAAACTACGTAAATTTGTAAATCTTTTTGTCAGTGTTTATACCGTAGCTATGGACACTAATGGGTATGTCCCAATTTGCTACTGAAACTGGAAGCGTGAGCTGTCAGACAGAGGGTTAAAATTATTGTGTCGAACTGAAAAACTTTGTTGAGATGGGTTGCAACGAGGCTATGCCGATTCTAAATTAAGTCTCGTCAAGATAGAGAAATACCTGATTGATGTTAAGCGAGGTCTACGGACAATTTTTGCGCAAGCCCACGGGCTTTGATTTCCCCACATTAAATTTGGCCTCGTTAGGTTTATTTAAATATCGTAAACTGTTGTCTACGCTGGAGGCAAATAATAAATTGCCGTATCGAACTTTCTGGTTTTGGGCAGAGACGACCCCAGACAAGGTAACGTCATGATTTAATATAACAGTCTCGTCCGGGAAAGTAGAGAATTACCCGATTCCGCGTATGCGGGGTCTACGGGCAATTTTTGCCAGAGCCCACGGACTCAAATTTTCCCCCACATTAAATTTGGCCTTTAAACGCATCCTGCTTCGTGGGGAGGCAATTAATTATCGTTTTATATGTTTAAGTAGTCCAAATTAGCAGTATTTACCTATTTAACAACGCTGAAGAGTATTATAATTTGTTCATGTCATAAAGACATTTTCATTTCCAATCTCTGTTTTGGTTATTCCTTATTCAGTAACCCTTTCTAGGTTAAAACAGTCTGTCGTGCTTTCCGATGCTTACGACCGTATCACGTTGAAACACCGGTTCTCTTAGAATCACCGAACTTAAGCAAAGAGTTGCCAGGTCAGTAGATAGATGGGTGTCCGCTTGCGAATACCAGCTTCGAGATGTTTGTGCGGTGGATGGACGATGGCTCTGAATTGTTAATCTATGAATCGAGTTCTAATTTCAGTTGGGTTTGTTATATTCACTTACGCGTAAATACCTCTTGTCTTTCCAGCTATGGGTTAATAAGTAAAACCTGTATCACTGAATTATTTTTATGTCTAAACATACTTACAATCTCATAAAATCTTCGGTTGATAAACTGTAAAAAACAAATCAATCAGTATGTTTATATCACTCGAACGTTCATATCCATCTCACTTCACATGCGCGATAAACATACACGTACATACGCACTCACACCTATCTCTTTATATTTGCTTTGTTCATTTCTTTTTAATTGTTCATATCTATCTATCTATCTTTCTCAGTCTGTTTCTATCTATCTATCAATCTATCTATCTCAGTCTGTTTCTATCTATCTATCTATCTATCTATTTGTTTGTCTGTCTCTCTGTACATCAGTATATCTATCTCTGTTTTTATTTAATAATTCATTTATTAATTGATGTAAATCTTTTCAAACTCATTAGTCTTTTTGCAACGCTTTCAAGTTCATTTTAATCTATCGGTGGATTTATGTATCAATCTATTTCAATCTTTTGATTACCTATCTATCTATCTATTTCAAAATATTCTATTGTTATACGTTATTTATATATATTTGTGTATATATAAATAACGTATAACAATAAAATATGTTAAAATAATTGTCGGACTTTGTCCCTTTCATAGTGCGTAACTTCATTTGCTTACGTTTAGAAACGCTTCGAGCAGATATGACCGTCCGAGGAAAATCATGGAAAATTGTAGTTTAAAAGAAGTAACATCGACCTTGCTAACCAGACGCTCCTCTGTAGCTAAATTCGTATAGCGCGTCAGGCTATATGACGGTTCCGAGTAAGATACAGGTTCGATTCCCGTCGGAGGACATATATTTTCTATGAAAAATTCTCGGACGTAAATGTTGTTAATACTATTTATTATAAACAGAGCATTTACTTAAATATTTGTGTCGATATAAATAACGTATAACAATAAAATTTATTCAAAATAAATGTCGGACTTTTTCCATTTTGTATCTATTATTATCTATCTATCTATCTCTCTCTCTCTCTCTCTCTATATATATATATATATATATATATATATATATATATATATATATATATTTACCTGTCCATCAGTCTGGCTATATTAAATAATTCATTAATTGAGGTAAATCTGTTCAAATACATTAGTCTTTCTACAAAGCATTCCAATCATTCAAATCGGTCGTTAGTTATTTGTCTCTCTTTTCGTTCACTGGGGCAGACTGTTCTAGTTCCACGTGCCATGTCTAATGGATGTTAGTCATCAGTTATCTCCTATTAATTCCCCTCTCTTAGTTCTTTACCGCCTTAACTGGGTATTGAACTCTCACTCTTTGGGCCCTGCCACTGTATCTAACGCCTTTATCCACTGTTCCTTGAGGTCACATGGAACGGTGACAGGACCCAAGTAGTGTGAGTTCAATACCTGGTTAAGGCAGTGGAGAAATTTTAGAGGGAAATTAACAGGAGATAACTGATGTCCATTACACATGGCACGTGGAACTAGAACATTCTACCCTAGCGAGCGAAACAAAAGGTTCAGTTCGACATTCTAACCACCTGAAGAAGGCCGGAGCGTACAGCGGCTTAAACGTTGTGATAAATATGGCAACAAAGATGAGGACAATAGTTTGAATAATGTAAATAATGAAAATGCCAGTTTTGTTTATGACCGATTTCTATCATGATTCTTCTGTTAAGCTTGGAGAGTAATTATACATTATTGCTCAGTGTCCAGTAGTGTTATAAAAACCTCAAAGAACTCCAGTAAGATATCATTAATCATTTCTAAGAGACAACGGTTCAAAGATTTATCTAACAATTGGACAATTTTACTGTTACGCCCAGTCTTCAATTTCCATTCTTGATATAGTAGTTTAAAAGCTACTAATTATTTTCCACTATGCTACCTATTTCTCACAGATGAGACGTTGCATGCTTCTCACTGCTCTAATCTATACCCATGAATAGTGTTCTGGTGAACTATACTACTGAATTACACCAGTCCTAACTTTCACAGCTAGAATTCGCAATGCCATGCACATTTTATCGAACCGACTCCATTTCTTTCACATCACCCTGATTAGATGTATGTTCCACTAAAGCAGCTTCTTCCCACGAACCTTTTAGCACTTACTCCCAACAGACTGCTTTCCCGACCACTAAAATGTTAACCTGTCCTAGGGTTAAGCGTTTTCTTCTTCACATATCCGATAAGCTTTACCTCTTACTCTGTAACCCCCTAATGGCTCCAGGGCCGTGAACAGGGTAAACACCGCTGTAAAATAAAAAGAAAAATATTTAAAAAAAAAGAAATATTTCGTTAGAAAGAAAGAAAAGGGTAATGAACTGCTATGTAATATCCGTCATCATATATGACATTGAATGCTGGATAATCTCCTCACATATCTGTCTTCTTAACTGTTTCAGTATTCCCAATAATTTAACTGTCAGTGTCCTCAGTTTTTCAAACTCACGTCCCTTAATAAATGTCTAGCAAGCTAAGTCTGTCCATCTCTCTATCTCTCTCTCTCCCTCCCTATTTCTCTTCTCTCTCAATATGTCTGTCAAGTAAATATTTGTCTGATAGCTTTCTATCAACGTTAGAAATTTCATCTATCTATCTAATGATATGTTTCAGCCAAGAATCTGTCAAAATCTTTCAGTTCTTCGTTACCTTAACTTTTGTTTATATCTATCTATCTATCTATCTATCTATCTATCTATCTATCTCAGTTTGTTTATCTATCTCAGTCTGTTTATCTATCTATCTATCTATCTCAGTTTGTTCATATCTGATTCTGTTCGTATCTATTTATCTATCTCATTCTGCTCGTATATCTATCTATCTATCTATCTATCTATCTATCTAGTCCTTTCACTTTATCTATCTATCTATCTATCTATCTATCTATCTATCTATCTATCTATCTCAGTCTGTTCATATCTATCTATCTATCTATCTATCTATCGCAAACATTTCCTATCATATCTATCTATCTATCTATCTATATATATATATATATATATATATATATATATATATATATATATATATATATATAATCCTGTCATTCTATCTCAATCTGTTAATATCTATCTATGTCTGTGTTTATATCATGGCGTTCTATACTACAGGACAACTCACGATGCGACTAAAAACTAGGACTGGAGGCCTGATTCAAAATGTTTGAATTTAAGAAATTTTCAGAGAAAAGTCTATTTAATATTCTGAATAAAAACTTTTTTCATTAATTTTGTACTATAAAAATATTGCCTTTGCTTTTCTTTCACGTGTTTAACGGAAGACTCAACTAAAATCAGCATACTTTTTTTTAAATACCCTTTATAAGGAAATGCCATCTCTGAAAAGTAATGAGTCTAGGCGTGCTGTGTGAGCTGTGTACGAAAAAGAGATAGGCGGATTGTGTTATCATCTAACATGATATCTTGGGAGTATATAATTGTAATCTTAGATTTCTGTAACCATTTCACTTTTTTTTCACATACTTTTGTTACAGGACAAATCTTGGCTGCTTCACTATGACAATGCAGCTGCGAAACGCCCTGAGCATCCTGCAGTTCCTGGTTTGAGAAAAACATCGCCGTACTGGAATAACCTCCCTATTCACCTGATCTTGTTTCGTGTGACTTTTTCTTTTCCCCAGGTTCAAGGGGATCATCAAGGGGTTCATTTTTGAAGGCATGGAGGCCATCAAGAGAGCCGTAACGACGAAGCTGGGGAGCATCCAAGATGAATCCTTCCAGCAGTGCATAGAAACGTAGCAGAGAACGGTAGAAACATGCATTGGACTCGGGTGGCATTACATTGAAGAGGAAACCGTGTACTTTGTTGTTTGGAATTGGAATAAATTGCGTACACCAGTTATTTTTCAGATACACACCGTACACAAATTACTCATAAAACATTAAATATTACCCTTAATAGATTTATTATAAATAAAAGCACAATCGAGAGAAATATAAAATTAACTACGACAAATTAATGTCATTACTTGCCTTATTTACATTTATCAGACTGCTCTCCTCATCTTCATTGCCATTTTTCACGACGTTTCGGCCGTTGTACGCTCCGGCCTTCTTAAGGTGATTGGTATTGAACTCACAACTGCTTTAGGTCTAGTCACTGGTTCTAAGCAACATCTTTATCCACTGGCCCAGTTCAATACCAGGACACAGCAGTGCTGAAACAAAACTTGAAGAGAGGAGTTAAAAGGAAACAACTGAGACACCCGGATGAGGCATGGGACGTGGAACTAGAACAATGTACACCGGTGGACGAAATAAAGGGTTCGGTTCGAAATTCCAAGCTCCGGCCTTCTTCAGGTGATTGGAATTTCGAACGGAACGCTTTATTTAACATCTACCAAAAATATCAGATTCTAAAAATAATTTATTTGACAAAAGCAAGATTTCTGAACTGCATTTTTCGTAAATTTCGCATATTTTTTTTCAATAAACATATAATAATATAGCAGGTCCGAAGAAAAATAACTCTTATCTTATTTCAATGAAAGAGGCTAAAGCTATTCCAAGGGTAAAAGAAACATTTTGGAAAGCGAGTATAGCAGCAAATTAGCTTAAACCCAAAACCAAAACTAAATTACCTTAATCCCAAAACCAAAACTAAATTACCTTAATCCCTAAACCAAAACTAAATTACCTTAATCCCTAAACCAAAACTAAATTACCTTAATCCCAAACCCAAAACTAAATTATCTTAATTCCAAACCCAAAAAACCTAAATTACCTTTAACCCAAAACCAAAACTAAATTACCTTAATCCCAAAAGGAGAACTAAATTACCTTAATCCCTAAGCCAGAACTAAAGTACCTTAATCCCAAAACCAAAACTAAATTACCTTAATCCCAAACCCAAAACTAAATTACCTTAATCCCAAAACCAGAACTAAATTACCTTAATCCCTAAACCAGAACTAAATTACCTTAATCCCTAAACCAAAACTAAATTAACTTAATCCCTAAACCAAAACTAAATTACCTTAATCCCTAAACCAAAACTAAATTACCTTAATTCCAAAACTAAAACTAAATTACCTTAATCCCAAAACCAAAACTGTGCTATCATTGGCGTAAGGAAGATATCCAGAAAAGGGGTCCACAGTTCTGACCCTTAGCTTCATTATAAGTAGGCATAGAGTATAAGACTCTATGACTGCTATCAATCTGTTCGTATCTACCTCAATCGGTTCTTATCGAACTGTCTCTGTTAATATCTATTTATATATCTATTTGTTTATTTCTTTGTTTCCGTCTACCTCACAAGCCTGCTCACATGTAGAGCAGGCTTTGTATTTATCAGGCTCTCTACTATCATTCAAATCCATCACAGTCGGGTTTGTATTTATTCATCCAGTCTTTCTTATTTTTCCTCCTCTTTTCGCTTCTTGTTCACTGCTTTGTCCAGATAAACGCAGTATTTATATGGTTTCTGTTATTTGGTAATGTTCTTTTTTTGTGATTCTGTTACGCTAATATACAATGTTCAGAGGAGAATGACCTTTCTCAAGACCCTGGGGTTTTACTGGCTAAAACAAATAACAGAGATATGTACTCAAATACCTATATCTAGTAATATAAAGTTTAAAATAAGTATTGTTAGATTTTAAATACGAAATCTATTAATACATTGCAAATTGTAATATATCTATCCCTCTATCTCCATATCTCTCTCTCTATATACATATATTTCAGTCTATTCATATCTATCTATCTCAATCCGTTCATTTATTTTGTATCTATCTCAACCCGCATCTGTCTATATTTCTGAGATGACATATTATGTACATTATTTGGAGTATTGTTCTCATCTTTGTCGACATATTTATTACAACGTTTCTCCACTGCCTTAGCTGGGTATTGAACGCATACCCTTTGGGTCCTGCTACTGGATCTAACTAACGCCTATATCCACTGTGCCATGTGTCCTCAAGGAGAACTATCAGAGGGAAATTAACAGGAGATAACTGATAACTGACATCCATTAAACATGGCACATGGAACTAGAACATTCTACCCCAGTGAGCGAAATAAAGGGTTCAGTTCAACATCCCAACCACCTGAAGAAGGCCGGAGCGTAGAACGGCCGAAACGTTGTAATAAATATGGCGACAAAGATGAGGACAGTAGTCCGAATAATGTAAATAATCTATCTCAATCCGTTCATAAAGAAATTATCTAATCTTTCTATCTATCTATCTATCTATCTATCTATCTATCTATCTATAATCTAATTTATCCTAATCCGTTCATTTGTTTATTATCAATCTATCTATCTTTCTATCTATCTATCTATCTATTAATCTATCCTAATCCGTTCATTTTATTTCATGTATCTATCTTCTATCTATCTATCTATCTATCTATCTATCAATATCTTAATCCGTTCATTTCTTTCGTATGCATTCATTCTATCTATCTATCTATCTATCTATCTATCTATCTTATCTTTCAATTGTCCAGTTTTCTTATCTATCTATTTATCTATCTATCTATCTATCTATCTATCTATCTATCTATCTCAATCCGTTCATTTGTTTCGTATCTATCTATCTATCTATCTATCTATCTATCTATCTATCTATCTATCTATCCTAATCCGTTCATTTATTTCTTGTATTCATAAACATCTATCTATCTATCTATCTATCTATTATCTATCTATCTATCTATTAAAAATCCGTTCATTTATATTATTTATCTATCTATCTATCTATCTATCTCTCTATCTATCTATCACATCTATCTATCTATCTATCTATCCTAATCGGGTTTTTTTATTAAATAATCTATCTATCTATCTATCTATCTATCTGTCTATCTATCTATCTATCTATCTATTTGTTTATTGACTTATTTGTTCACTTGTATACCAATCTTTGTATCTATCACGTTTTCTGTTATCATTCAAATCTCTCTCAATCCTTTCTTATTCATTAATCTATTCACTCTCATTCTTCCTCCACTTCTCGCTTGTCGTTCACTGTTTTGCCCAGATTGATGCACTACCTCTCATTCTCAAGTAGTCCACCTTTCATGACTGCATGAATAAGCCTTTTAGTAGGTCTAAATTAAGATGTATTGCTGTGTTGACCGTTTTCGTAATTGTATCACTCTTCTCTCACATTCGCCCTAAGTCTTTGTTATAATTAGATTAAAAAGTCTATTCTCTTCCTTTTCAACAGATGTGTGAGCTTGTATTTGAGCGCGGTAGGAGATGGATTTAGATTGTTTGTCTGCGTCCAAATACTTGTATGTATCCGCGAGTGCGTATATTTAAAACATATATATATATATATATATATATATATATATATATAAAACGATTTAAACATAAAATGCCCAATATATATATATGTGTGTGTGTGTGTATGCGTGCGTGTGTGTCAGTGTGCGAGGAATTTATATTACTATGTCCAGAAATAAATGTCCTTTTGCAACTGCAGGGTTGTGTGAAAGTCAAAACCAGTTCTGCAAAGCACAATTTAATTAAACCCACTTATCCAACTGTTTCTTCTTTCCTGCTAAACTCAAGTGGGTCGCAATAGTTCAGTATGTTTTGTACCACGCCTTTCTGAGAGCTTGCCCACTGTTTAACGAGTATCAGCCTCAGCAGTATTCCTTGATTTGATGTCATTCAGAAGAAACTTCCTTTCATGACTTGTTTTTGTTTTTTTTTTTTTTTTTTGCTTAGTCTTCAGATATTTTAGTTAGGCATCGAAATCTTAGCAACACTTTCTATGGCGGGGATTATTTCGACGATATATATATTTTTTTTAATTATTGTTAGATATTTTTATTCAAGTTTTAAGTCGAAAAGAAAGTTCAACGGAAAACCCTCTTTCCTACAGAATTCCGTGAAGTCAACATAATTTTCTATAAAACCTCGGATCGACAAATGCTATTTAAAATTGTTTCTAAGAATATATCGCTTATCAAACAAAAATTGTATATATATATATATATATATATATATATATATATATATATATAAATATATATATAAAAAACTCTATAACATCTCGGATCGATGTCCCAATTTAAAATTGTTTATGAGAATATATCGCTTATCAGACAAAAATGTCTTCCACCACTAGCAGTGGTTTACCTATTTCACGCCGCTGGCGAGTATTGTATTTTGTTGATGTTATAAAGATTACCATTTCATTTAAAAACTCCATTTCGGTTATTCCTCATTCAGTAACGTTTTCTAGGTTACAACACTATCTATCTATCTATCTATCTATCTCATTATCCGTTCTATTTTCTTTCTTTCTTTGATAGGAATATCTATCTATCTATCTATCTATCTATCTAACTGTCTATATTTCTGAGATGAGGTATTATGTACATTATTTGGACTATTGTACTCATCTTTGTCGCCATATTTATTACAACCTTTTCTAGGTTACAACACTATCTATCTATCTATCTATCTATCTATCTAACTGTCTATATTTCTGAGATGAGGTATTATGTACATTATTTGGACTATTGTACTCATCTTTGTCGCCATATTTATTACAACTTAAAAGAAGGTTACAACACTATCTGTCTATCTATCTAACTGTCTATATTCCTGAGATTGTATTATGTACATTATTTGGACTATTCAACTCATCTTTGTTCCATATTTATTAAATAACCTTTTAGGTTACAACACTATCATCTATCTATCTATCTATTTCTAATATCTATTATCTATCTATTTATCTATTTCTGAGATGAGGTATTATTTACATTATTTGACTATTGTCCTCATCTTAAAAACATATTTATTACAACCTTTTCAATAGGTTATCTTGTCGACATTATTACAATCTATCTATCTATCTATCTATCTAAAATCTATATTTCAATCCTTCAAGGCATTAAAACATTATTTGACTATTGTACTCATCTTTGTCGCCATTTTATTAACCTTTTCTGGTTTTTACAACACTATCTATCTATCTATCTATCTATCTATCTATCTAACTGTATATTTCTGAGATGAGGTATTATATGCATTATTTGGACTATTGTCCTCATCTTTTCGACATATTTATTACAACCTTTTTACAAGGTGACTAACGTCATTATCTTCTATCTATCTATCTATCTATGATATCTATTTTATTTTATACATTATCTATTATCTATCTAACTGTCTATATTTCTGAGATGAGGCATTATGTACATTATTTGGACTATTGTCTGAATCTTTGTCGCCATATTTATTACAACCTTTCCTGAGGGGCAACATTATCTATCTATCTATCTATCTAACTGTCTATATTCTGATGAGATTCTATTTTTATTTTATACATTATTTAGACTATTGTCCTCAACATTTTGTCGCGACATATTTATTACAACCTTTCTAGGTTATAACTACTAACTGTCTATATTTTGAAGAAAGGTATTATGTACATTATTTGGACTATTGTCCTCATCTTTGTCGCCATATTTATTACAACCTTTTCTAGGTTACAACACTATCTATCTATCTATCTATCTATCTAAAACTGTCTATATTTTTAGATATTGGTATTTTGTACATTATTTGGATCTATTGTCGAAACCTCATCTTTGTCGCCATATTTATTTACAACGTTTTTTCATTTCCCAACGCCTTCTTTTCAGGTGGTTGGAATGTCGAACTGAAACCCTTTTTTTCACTCACTGGGGTAGAATGTTCTAGTTCAACGTGCCATGTTCAATGGATGTCAGTTATCTCCTGTTAATTTCCCTCTGAAAGTTTTCCACTGCCTTAACCGGGTATTACTTAGATCCAGTAACAGGATCTAAAGAGTGTGAGTTCAATACTGGCGTGCCTTAGACCACACAGTCAAGTAGGACCTCCTGACTAAACACGGCCCGAAAAGCGCTTTTGAATACATACCTTCCCGCTTCTTGAAATATATATATCTGCTCTCTTTCGCATCGTAACGTAAACAATTTTTTTAGGAAGTGGATTAAATCCGAGATATATTTTTTAATTTATTTATTTATTTAAAAGTTATTTTTAAATGGATACTCATATTTGAGAAGATGCTCTATTTTTTATTTATTTTTTAAACGGTATCTTTACTTATTTACATCTCCCGACCTATTCGAAAAAAATATATATATACATATAAACCCGTCTACT